GTAAAACACCCTCACTACCATGCTATGTTATTTCTACTGCTGTTTTTTTTTTTTTTTCTGGGTGTGGAGTTGATTCATGTTTTCGGAGGAACTGCCACTATCTGACTTGAATTATGGCCCAGATTAACCGTGGTATATCGCAGAAGAAGCAAGATTAGTTGATTAGCTGTTATGGACAGATGGGGATGGGATGCTTTGGAGCCATGGAGAAAACAAAGCAGGGTCAGTGGAGGTCAGGACCTTTAAAAGGATCCCTGCTTGGATTTCTTTCAGCTCAACTCTCTTGTTGTTTGGTTTTAATCGCAGTGTAGGAGTGATGACAGTTTTCTGCCAGACAGTCTGGAAATTGTCTTGAGTTTTCAAAGAGCACAGAACAGTTAAAGTGGTCGGAGCAGAAATAATAAAATGATATATTAAAAAAGCAAGCTGAAGGAAATGAGGGGTGGGGAAGAGTTGAGGAGGGAGTGGCAAGTGGAAGTGGGTCAAAGTGGCAGTGACGCGATGTGGAGTGACGTGCTGATCAGGCGAATGGACTTCCCAGTCTCTGCCTCACCTTGTCCTGTCCTCACACACACATTTCCAGTTAAACAGACCGTTTATTATGGAACTGGGCAAATTCCGCATTATGGAAAGATTTGTTAATCTTTGGAGCAGCTCCTTCTCTCTCATTTGGGTTAAACCTGACTAGAAGTAGCGTTAGCCTCTTTGTTAGTTTGTATATACCGGTAACACAAGTGCATAAAGGTTAAGATGTGCATTTTATCTCAGCAGTGGTACCCTGCTAAAGTATGATCTGTAGCTGTTCCTCTGCTGTTTTAAAGGATGAAAAGAGGCAAATCCTGACGGAGAAAGAATGATCAAGGAGCCTAAAGGGAATGGCTGAATTTCCTCATCCATCCCCCTGATGATCCTGATGTTAAATTAGCAGTTGAATTCCCCTGTGGCTGTGTATTGATTTTTAGATATGTTGGACACTCCAGTTAATATTTATAGGCCAGAATCCCACTATATAGTCTCTACTGAGTGGGTCAGATAGAAACTGACAAGCATGCAAAACATTATACATTCCTACAGCTAATTTAGCATGTCAATTTAACCTAACGTGCATGTGTTTACTAGGTGAGAACTTGCACCTTCTATACTGAAGTGAAGCGCTTGAACTAAATTTTAAACTGGGAACTCTGATTGATGGTGCTTTCCTTTGCATAACTGTGCCAGTCATTATCTTATGAGGCATAGTAAAGTTTTGCTCATAAGCTAGGTTATGACTAGTTACCACTATGACCTTTTACTAGTGTCAAGGATGCAAGATAATTCAAGGAAAAAATGCAGGTAGGTTTCACCTATTCGGATGGAACAGCCACCTTAGAACCACCTTTAGTAATTCTTCTGCTGATGGATAAAAGGGTGCAAAATTCTGCAGAATACAGCCTTAAATCAATTTTTTGAAGATATTTACATTAGTTTTAGTTTAGAAAATAAAATCCTCAACAGCCTATCCAGTGTTTAACCCCCCCACCTCCCCCTCCCATTTCAGAGTCATCCCGCTTCATTTTAGCGTGCTGGTGATGACTGAAGGCTGAGGAGCCTCCATCCTAATCGGCTTGAGATCTGGCTGCAGGTCAGGGCAGCAGATGACTACAGATTAGAGGGTCACAAGGCAGTTAGAGAGGATTACCAACTCTGAGCGCCCTAACCTCCTGCTGTAGGTATCCAACCGTCGGTTAACAAGCTGCACGGACTATTTGTAAAAGTCAAGGGGGCAGACTGTAAATGCATCTGTTGTGACTCACAAAAGGATTCGCTGCCCTTGAACTCCAGTTCACATATTGTCACATCATTTTAGATTAAAAAAAAAACAAAAAAACAAAATACTTTCTAAAAAATATGGCATCCGTTTGTGTTCTGCCCCCTTTAATCTGATACCTCACAATAAAACCAAGCACAACCAATAGCCTTTGTAACTCATGTGTAATTTATTCTCTGTAAAAGTTCAGCCAGACCTTAGTGGAAGACTGACAGGAAGCAATCTTTAGTTAAGAGCCATTGGAAGCTGCTTATAAGAGGGACATGCAGATTGTGAGACTTGATTTCAAAATGAATCCGACCAAATACTCAAAGAAAACCTGTCAGAGCTACATCCTCATCAGAATAATAGATTAAATCGAAGCATATTTATGTGTTGGAATAACCCAATTTAAAGTCTATACCTAAATGTTGGATGCTCTCAATCCAGTCTCCCTGGGTTTGTGATGCTTGCAAAGAAGAATAGTCAAGAATTTTAATGATTAGCAAAGTCGATTGAAATCTTCCATAAACATGGCTATATATAGTATAGAGGAATATAATTTCAAGGCGCACTTTTTTATTTTTACTGGCAGAACATAAAAAAGGAAAATTTCCTTCTGCATGCACAACTTTGTGTTAGTGTGAAAATGAAATCTGGATTAAATAATGTTGCTGGAACAACAATTTTTAAAAAGATTCAAGCCATGTAAATCTTTCTGTCTTCTTTCTTTGTGCCAAATCTTTTTCAGTGAATCTATTTGTGGTAAGATTTTATGCCAGACATGTTGTATTTCACATTAAAATATTTAAATAGAAAACCAAATACATGGAGTGTTTTGCTGACTGTCAGTCCTTCGATGCCCTCCTGCATATAATAGCTGTGCAATAATTCCCACAGGCTTGTCAATCTGCTGCAGAGTATTTCAATGTAAACAATGTCAGTCTCACCTCACTGATGGATAGTTAGTTTTTACCCTGCAGCAGCATCGTGCTCTTATCCTCAACACTTCACCCTAGCTTAGCCCTCTAACAGTCCCACTGTAATCCCACTAGGTAAACAAAGGGAAATGTGCCTGCATTTCTGCTCCTCCTCCTACCTTTGCTTTTATCTCTCTAGTTTAAATAGACCTTTTTAGATAGCAGGCTCTGTGTCACCTATCAAGTCAAACACAGCTCCTTCCCTCTGACTTAAACTTACTAAGCCTGTTTCAGTTAAGCATAAAAACACTGCTATGTAAAAGGGTTGTCTGATAATTGGCCCTCCTGATACTTAAGGTGTTGAGAAGAAAATGTGTGGGGCCTTTAGGTGTTTAAGAATAACTAAAAACAACATAGATGGTGTTGGTCAGCGTTGGAAGTCTAATTAATTATATGTTACTGTTGATCTATGATTTATTAGGTCAATGGTCTTGGTGCAACAACTGGCAAACAGGAACAAAAGCACAGAAAAATTGTTTTACTTGAATTGCTTTTTTAAGGGCTGACAGTTACAAAAAGCATTATGAGGGGGTTTCTTTTTATTTTATAAAATAATGTTCATCTTTTGCTTAAGGCAACCCAGCTGGCTGAAGAGTAGAACAATAACAAGTAGGAAAACACCAACGAGAAAAGTTGCTATTATGGCCGATTAACAATGCTTAAAGATATTATATATCTGACTAACCCTTTAACACCGTTTAAAAAAAAAAAACAGTTCACCAATTATTTTTCTTTTCCGCTTCAGTTAAACACCCCATAATCCTGGGAAGCATTGCAATCAATGTAACATGTCCAGACAAATACCAACATTCTCCCTTCTTCCTACCAAAACACAAATTGCTGCAGGATGAAACTGAATCTGGTTATTAATATCGGCCCAGTTTTACTGATGGGACTGATACGATATGATGAGATAATATTGGCCTATACTGATAGTTGATGCTGATTTATTTAGTTGATGTATCCACAGTATGGAGTAAGTTTTCTTAGGAATAAGCATCAATTAATGATGAGTAATAAAAGTATTATTAGTTTCCTCAAAAATCCTGTTTAACTTGCAGCAGCACTGCATTAGGTTTGTTTTAGAGATTCTGATGTATTTTAACGGACATGTCCTGATCCGATATTGATATTGGAAATTGGTCTGACAGCCAAAAAAACTAATATTGGGATAAAACTAATATCAGCATTTAATAAATATGAATAAATATATATTATATATTGGTATGATATTAGAGACTTAGAGCATGCTGATAGACACTCCACTGCTGTTTGAAGTTTGTGTAACTCAATAATTATGAATTGGTCTGTTGTTCTCAAACCTATTGTTGTTGACTGTTTTTCTCCGTTTGCCTTTTCTAACATCCCACCCTACAAAAAATCGAATAAAATTGTGTGTTACACATCCTGGTTTTTGTATTAGGTCAATATTGGTATTGGTCAATATTCAATGCTGAAATATTGGTATCGTTATGGGCATTAATAAGTTGTATCGAGATATCCCTGTATTTTTGAACTAATTTAAAAGTGGAACATATGATTATTTGTTTCTATTGTATCGTAGGATGGTACACAAATCAATAAATAAAATAAGAGTTTAAAGCAATGGTTCATAGGATACTCATCTTAGATTTGTTGTGCAGGTTTAAAGAGTCACTTCTAGCTTATCAGGTTTAAAATAAAGTAACCTTATTAAACACGCTAATTTGCAGTTCGTAGTAACAGGTGAGGGAGGGGCATCCCCTCCAAACATGCTGGGATAAGAAAAAAATAGAGAAATAGTTTTGACTTTGACCATAACTTAAAACTGGGTGATGAAACTTTGATTTTGAAACTGTACCCTTTTAAAACCTTGGTATACCTTAAACTATAACTAATCTGTCCATAATACTTTAGTTGTGCATTGAAAGCATTGTGTCATTGCAGCGTTGTTTGGATAAACCTTTATTTAGCAAAACGCAAAAAGTCCACATTGTTTTGAGTTAGGGTTTAATCCCGGGGAGCTATTTTGAAAGTAAAAGGTCATTTCTCTGTTGTGCTCATACGTGCAGTTGCTTAAATCCTAGACTAAACCACTTGGAGAGCACTCTTGCAGAAAGAGTTCTTTTGGGACTTTTTTTTTTTTTGTGGTTTTATTTGTGTAGCAACCTTTTTCTGCCTCACTTGTCTGCCTGCCTTTTATTCCGCTCAAGGTCTTTGAAATGCTAATCCCTTCTCCTCCGTTATGTTTTCAGATTCCTCCACCAACTACATCAGGCAGCTGGAGACGAAGGTCCGGATATTGGAGGACGATAACAATAAGCTCCTCTCTCAGGTGAGACACAAACATGCGTATCCAAGCATGCCCTATCACGAGCGTCTGTATTTTACCCGAACTTGTCCAACTCGCCCAAAACATGTAATCGGCAGCTATGAGGACATAATAAGCTCGCCTGATCTTCTATGGAGAGATACTCTCATAACATGCTGGCTTGTTAGTTGCAGAATATGTATATCCATGTTTAATTTATAGGGAGCCCATAATCTTCAGCTGCCAGCAGTGATGCTAGCCCCATCTGAGAGCTGGGGAAGCGGAGGAAAGATGAGAGGCAGAAGGAAAAAAATAAAAAGAGGGAAGCATTAAATGACAGTTACTGAGGAAAAGTTATTTCCCCCATCTTTTTTTCCCTCAAAGTTGACCTCATGTTGACTTCTCTCAAATTCAGGGGATTTAAAGTGTTGAGTGAGGGAGAGGTGGGGGTACTGCAGTATAGTTCAGCAGGAGGTCACATGTCAGTCTGCAGAGGTGTGATTTACCACATGCAATAAACAGAGACATAATTTAGTCCCTTCGCATGGTGATAAAAAGTTTAAATTTCATCCAAAGGACTCATTCATTATGCAAAAGCATCAAAAGACATAGACGAGCATTATCATTATCATGAGGGTTTATATCTGTAGCTTACATTTTGAATACCACCAGATAAAGACAGCAAATGAGGTTGAATTTCCAGCTTAAACGTTTTTTTTTTTTCTCTTTTTTTATATCCGCATCAAAATTAGTCCAGCAATTATGTGTAGGCGGAGTAATAATTATATCATAATATTATAAATGTATGGCCAGGTGCAACAATTGCTCACGTAATTATCAAACCACTAGCAAATGAGGCCTTTTTAGAATGGTAACTTTCCACATTTTATTTCAACCAGGAACTTAAAATTCTATGGGGAAGATATGGACTGACCAATACAAAGTTTCCCTTAAAAAGATACGAACCACATTTCACCTGCACAAGGCTGCAAGACATTCAATCAAGCTGAATTCTTCCCTCGCTAAATATCAAGAGCAGCCAATTCACGAAGGAGTTTCGTGTCAACTCATTTAATAGCACTGAAGTAAGTTATAGTTTGGTTTTAACGAACCATTAAGACATGCATATGCTATGATCATAACCTGCCATGGCTGTTGTAGTATATTGTCTGAAAAATAACCCCCCCAGTCTAAGCTTTGGGGAGACTCACAAAAACTGGACTCAGCTGGAGTGATGAACAATCAAGAACCACCACACACAGACGTATGAAAGACATGGGTTTCTGCATGTGCATTCCTTGTGTCAAGCCCCTCTTGACCACAGACAGCGTCAGAAGCGTCTTGCCTGGGCTAAAGAGAAACAGGACCAAAGTCATGTTTCTCTGATGAAAGTAAATTTGCATTTCCTTTGGAAATCAAGGTCCCAGAGTCTGGAGGAAAAGAAGAGAGGCACTTCATCCACGTTGCTTGAAGTCCAGTGTAAAGTTTCCACAGTCAGTGATGGTTTGGGGTGCCATGTCATCTGCTGGTGTTGGTCCATTGTGTTTTCTGAGGTCCAGGGTCAACGCAGCCACATACCAGGAAGTTTTAGAGCACTTCTTGCTTCCTGCAGGTGACCAACTTTTTGGAGATGCAGATTTCATTTTCCAACAGGACTTGGCACCTGCACACAGTGCCAAAGCTACCAGTACCTGGTTGAAGGACCATGGTATCCCTGTTCTTAATTGGCCAGCAAACTCTCCTGACCTTAACCCCATAGAAAATCTATGGGGTATTGTGAAGAAGAAGATGCAATACACCAGACCCAACAATTCAGAAGAGCTAAAAGCCACTATTAGAGCAACCTGGGCTATCATAACACCTGAGCAGTGCCACAGACTGATCGACTCCATGCCACGCCGCATTGCTGCAGTAATACAGGCCAAAGGAGGCCCAACTAAATACTGAGTGCTGTACATGCTCATACTTTTCATGTTCATACTTTTCAGTTGGCCAACATTTCTATAAATCCTTTGTTTTTATTGGTCTTCAGTAATATTCTAATTTTCTGATATGATGAATTTCAGATTTTCATTTGTTGTCATTTGTAATCATCAAAATTAAACAAAATAAACATCTGAAATATATGAGTTTGTATGTAATGTATGAATATAATATACAAGTTTCACTTTTTAAATGGAATTACTGAAATCAATCTACTTTTTCATGATATTCTAATTTTATGACCAGCACCTGTAGTTCAGCAGGAGGTCACATGTCAGTCTGCAGAGGTGTGTTTACCCACACTGCACTAAAACAGAGACACTAATTAGCCCTTCGAGGGGGATAAAAGTTTAAATCATCCAAAGGACAGTCATTCATTATTGGCAAAGATGTCATCAAAAGACATAGACGAGCATTATCATTTATCATAGGGGTTTATGATCTGTAGCTCATTTGAATACCAGCCAGGATAAAGACAGTCAAACTGAGGTTGATTTTCCAGGCTTAAAAGCGTTTTTTTTTTTTCTTCTCTTTTTTTACTTATTCCCGCATCAATAATTATGTCCCAGCAGATTTATGTGTAGGCGGGAGTAATAATTATATCATAATCATTTTATAAATGTTATTGTGAGGTGCAACAGATTGCCTCACATGAATTATGAAGCAATAGAATGAGGCTTTTTTTAGCTGGTGAACTTTTCCACACTTTTGACTTTCCAACCAAAAACTTTAAAGTATTCTAGGGAAAGTATATGGAAGGGACCAAATAAAAAGAGTTTTTTTTTTTTTTTTCCCTTTGAAAATATATGATACAGTTCTTTAAAACCCACATTTTACTGCAGTCGAAGCTTCAAGTCATTGCAGATCTACAGGCTGAATTTTCTTTCCCCTCTGCTTTGCAAATAGTTCAAATACAGCCAAATTGAATGGAAGGGTTTCTGTGCACTTTCATTTTAATTATCCACTGTTTAGTTTTAGTTTTGTTTTTAAACGTACCATTTAAGCACATGCATATGCTATGATCATAACCTTGCCATGGCTGTTTAGTACCATTGTCTGATAAAGAGTGAACCTCCACCCCAGTCTTAAGTCTTTTGTAGCCTCTAACAGGTATTTCCTGTCACTGTGGGAAAAACAAAAATAGAACATCCCCACAGCCTGATGCTTCCACCACCATGTTCAATGCTTTGGATGATGCATTCCTTGGAGAACTGCACAATATATCAAATTGTACCTACCATTGTAATATACCCATCACCGACTCACAGGGCTGTTTAAAGAGGCCATAAGGACAATTTAAGGAGCATGCATTGATGCTCTGCAGGTAAAGAACATTTACCTGTTTGGTTTTGCTATTGATTTCAATGTAAAAAATTCACAGAGAGGGGTGGAATAGAAGAAAAAGTGAGAAGAATATTAGTTATAGCGAAATACATATTTGATCCTCATGCAGTCCTAGTATTTGGAAGCCAAAATATTTCTATTTGGTTAACGGAAGCACAATCCTGTGATAAAAGAGAACTTCAATATTAGTAGTTTTTTGTGAACAATTGTTGCCAAATGTGCGGGCAATATAAAGCATGCTTGTCATGTATCTTAGCCACAGTGACCTGGTTATAATTTACCATACATTTATGTTGCCATATTTTGAATTGTGTATAAGTCTGGGGGAATTGCTATAAATCAAAGTTATTGCCTTTAATTACCAGTATACTGCAAAAATTGGCATATAAGATTGTTCAAAGAGAACAATATAACTATCATAATAATATTCTTTTGGAAAAAGAGTTCATTAGAATTGCATAATTTGAAAACTATATAATTGCTCATATTATGTTTAGGGATTAAGTTTTTCTGCAAATGTGCAAAATTATTTTCTGTGATAGAGGTGTGCATCTACTACCGTACTTAAGTTCTACTTTAAAATCCTCCTACATTTCAGTGTGGGGAGTGATTTTATGAAATCACTAAACAGAGGAGGAAAAATCTTTTTTTGTAGTAGTAAATTTAGAAGAGGGTTCAAATAAAATGTAATGGTGAAATATTGGGAGGAGAGAGACTGATTTCCTCAGCGGAAAGCATGCCAATAAAAGGAGAAGGGTGTGGCGTCAGAAAACTGCCTGGCCTTTCTTTGTGTAGATAGATGGTGAGTGGAGGGATTTAAACTGTAATAAGCTTCTGCTTCATTCATCACCTTTTTCAAACCATGCAGGTCAATGTGTTTTGATTTTGTTCTTTAGGTTTTCTGTGCAGGTTTTAAATAAATGAACTAGATGGTGCGTTAAAATGTCAGTTACTTTTCAGTTTCAGGATAAACTGTTAACCATGAAGCTGTTCAAATCTTGCACAATTGTTTTATCATCCAACTCTCCTCTTACCATCCATAACTTTTGCACTTTGTGATGAAGATTGTTGATTAATGCAAAGAAATAAAAATGCTCATCACACTTTTTAGAGTATAAATAATTAATAGGAATCCTTTCTTTCCTACTTCACAAATGCCCACTTATGTTGGTATATCACACACAATTCTAAAAAAAAAATGCTTTAAATGATGTCACTGAAAGATAAAAGAACATTGAAAGCTTTAAGATGTTTCAGTAAAAAAAAAAACAGGAAAAAGAACAATGCAATAATTCTACACGTTGTGTTTCTCTCCCTAGGCCCAAAACCGCTATAGCTTATCACAGATACAGATGAAACAGGTAACTTTTTGAAATGTCATCATTATAAATGTTGGCTCTACTATTCACCAACTCTTTGGGCCTCTTCTTCATTCTTCTAAATGTTTGGTGATGGGACTCTTTACAGCTTTGAGCTTGAAACTTTCTACTTCCTAAAGGATGGACACAAAGCAACAGTTGCAACATTTAAGAGTTTACTAAATGTTTTAGGGTTATGGGTGGTTTTAAAAAAAAAAAATGTATTGCCTTTGTTCTTAGATGGCCAAAACGGGAGAAACTTACTTTCTAAATGCAAGCAAAAACATTCTGGACCTCCTGAGGGGAAATCTGTACTTTATCTATGCCTGGTCTTATCAACCGCGACCCCAGTGTTTGGGGGTTTTGGCCACTTATTGTGGAATAAATGTAGGTTAAGGCTACATCTACATGCAGCTGAAGGTAGTATGTGCACAGACATGTTTGTCAAAGATGAAACCAGACAGGTGAAAGGAGCTATAATAGGCATTTTAATACTTCTGCATGCAGGTGAGGGGAATAGTAATTCTACCCCAGAAGTAATGGTGTTAAAAAAAGAAGAGTAGGGCTAAATAAAAACAAACAAGGAGTGAAAATAAAGCCATTTGCTTTGTCCACTTGGGTTCACACCAAATTCACATGTTGCTGTAAAATCCAAAATAAATTGTTTACCAGATAGACCCAAACCCAGCTTTGTTTGGTTTGAGTCCAACTCTTCCATCCCATAGATAAGTTAGTAAAGGTTATCTACAGCTTTTCTTATCATGATGACCCCATACATAATGATTCACTCAACACACAAGTGTTTGTGATTCATCAATTGGCACTGCACTTTGTCATTTCACAGTCAACCTCTGCAACAACTTGTAAAACCGGTTTCATTTTGAGACCGTGCTGGAGGACATATTTTAGACTTATTGGAAAAGCAAACTTAAAACTTGACAATTTTCTTATTTTGTTTAAACTTTTCTGATGTGGGATTCATGTAAATCTATCAAACAAAGCATTAAAAAATAACTTTTTTCTCTGTTTTCCAGCTCAGTGCTTAGATTTCCTACAGTTAAAAAAAGCAACCACACCTTAGCAACCACACAGATTACTAAAAGAAGTTGGCATCATTTCTAGTTTCTGAAGAATTGTCATGATGTTGGCTTTCTTCTTTAGGTATGATTACCTGTAAATCTCATTGTCACACCTTTCATTCCTTGAACCCCTTATTCTTTGCACAGGCTTTGTCTCCAGTGTAAATCTAGACAGCTGCTGTTAACTTAAATCTGGTGAACATGCCATTTCCCTTGACAAGCAAACAATAGGCACAATTTGGAGGTGTGTGCCTCTTTACCCAGGTGGGAATTCATGTTCATTGATGCCGTGGTAATGCTAAGTAATCTATTTGGAGATCGTCTCTGTTTCAATTTCACCATATGAGACTTCCTCAAGCACCTAAAGAGAGAATCCATGTTGATTGCTGTGGCGATAACTGTGGCGCAGTCTTAAGGCTGATTTATACTCAGAAACAAGGTCGTCTGTGTGTGTGTTGCAGTGAATGCAAATGTGCCCCCGCCTTTGTCGCAGACACTCTGCTGCACTCTCCAAAATTGTAGGTGGCCACAGACAGACGGCCTCTGATTGGTCAAATCTACATCCACTCTACACTATGGGCCGGATTTATCAAGATCCAATTTTGCGTGCAGTAATTTGCGCTCGCAAACTGGAATTTTGCGCGAGGGGCTGAACCATGGTTTGCGGGTGATTTAACAAGAGTGATTGCGTAACTGGTGGCAGGTGCAAAACTGTTGGAGACGCCCTATTTAAATGATGGTTTTGCGCGTTTTGTGGTTTGCGGCAAAGTAGTTTGTAGTCTGTACAAACTAGTGCATTAAGAAATTTAAATCTTAGTGACCCCCAACAAAAAAAAAAAAAATATATATATATATATATATATATACATATACATATATATATATATATATATATATATATATATATATATATATATATATATATATATATATATATATATATATATATATATATATAAATTGGCAACCTTTATTCCCTAAGGTGGTATGTGCTGCAGTAAAAAACAAAAACAAAACAAAAAACAGGTGTTTTGTATTGGCCTGTGACTGTGGATGAGATCCCCGCAGCATTGGCATGTTGCTCCACAGGCGCAGGGGGAGAACCCCGACCCCGTCGCACAGCACTTCTGAAAAAACGAGATAGGGAGATCCCAGCTCTCGCTGCAACCGTACGCTGGAATGACCCAGATGCAAAAAAGTGCAATGTTGCAAGGAGTTTTGTGATATCTGGTATTGCGTGGATCCTCCTTGTGGCTGGCTCCAAATCCATTCGGAGTTCCCCCAACAGCTCCAAAAAGGCAATGCTGGATAAACGATATGTTTTGATGATCGTTTCCTCGTTCATTCCAAAAATATTCACACGGAGTGAAAAAATGCGTTCTCTGCGTCTCCTTGCTTTATTTCCATGTCTCCTTCTTGCGACAGTAACCGCTGCCATGTGTGCGCAATTACGCATACAGACCATTTGCACCTTCTTTTGAAACGTGTTAAATATAGAGTCAGATACCGTCAGCAAAATTGCGTTCAGGTTTGATAAATCACTTTGCGAGTGCTAAATTAATATATTTACATGTTCTCCTCCCACAAGACGCACTTTTGCGTGTAAACGCCCCATATTGCATATTCATTGCAGAAAAAGTACTAAATGGATAAGAGGCGCTATTTAGCACGTTTTAAAGACCAAATCCTTTTAGCACGCTGTTGATAGATCAGTTTGTACATTTTTTAGCGTGCGCAGTGAAATAGCTCACGTTTTTATACACGCAAACCTTTGATAGATCCGGCCCTATGTGTATTTCCTGTTTGGTACATTGCCGGCATGTTTTGTTTGTATGACCGCCATCGTGGAAAACGACTTGTGAAGATGGAACAGCTGGAAGAGCGAGGTGCGCGAGAACGCTGGGACCCTTTACCCACCTGGATCCCCGTTTTTTTTCGCCCTCATGTCCCTCCATTGTTGCATAAACTTGCCCCCACTTCCTTACCGGTTTGGCTGTATCTACAGCTAGTCCATGACTGTCCCTCTTGAGTTGTGGCGTGGAATAACATAGTATAGACCACACATCAATATTGGGTATAAATCAGAAATATCTGTGACAAGCTCACTGCGACACACTGCTTCGGGAGTATAACCATCCTTTTAGTCCACAAGCTTAGTTCTGACCAAACTTAGTCCATGTATAGTCACTTCTTTTTTATTTTTTTTGTAACATACCATCTGGATTTTAATGTTATCTTTTGTTTACATATTCATTCCATAATTAAAACCATTTCCTGCATAAATGTACCCCTTTTTTGTATTTTATAAACCAGCACATGTAATCTAAGTATTATATATGCAGCCCCCCACTTTAAATATGATCATTGCAGTTCCAACATGACTGACTGCAGCTCTGCCTGAGACAAATTGTATTTCCAAATCAAAAATCCCTATTTAAATGGGGTTTTTTTTATTTTGTTTTTTTAGGTATTACAAAAACATTTTCTTGCAGCAAGTGTTGCTTCTGTGTCCAGTCCTTTTTATGTGCCTCCAGCATGTTCTGCTAATGAATTACACCAGTGGTCCTGCTGTGTACATCTGACTTTCCTTGGTTGGAAAAACCTTAGTCTGTCCTTGAATTTGCACTGCACCATGTTCAGTACTCAGTACTCCAGGTGAATGAATGCTACATCGTGCTTTGGTGCATAAACCACACTGGCTTGTTCATGCTTGTCGAGACGTCTGGTGGGCTGAATAATTAAACGTATGGGAGCAACACAGGTGGATCCATGTATACATAATGCATGGCTGACAACTGGCGTGTGAGTGTAACTGAATAACAAAAAATGTCAGTTTGAAGATAAACTGATTTAAGGGAGAGAAATTTCTTTGAAAGAGGGGAAAGCATCAAATTTTTTTTCCTGTTCCCTCTTGATGACTACATCCTCGCAGACAGAAAGGCTAGAGTGGATTAGCTGAGTCAGTTGACATATTACCTAACTTCCTAAACAGTAAAATAGGTTGATTGAAACTTGCTTTCAGCTAATAGAGAACAATAGCCTCTTATTTGGGGAATGCTGAGCTCGTAGGCCAGGTTTGTGGAGAAATGTTTACTGGAATGGATTGCCAAATGGAATGACTTCAGAGGCAAGGCTGCTCTGTATTCATAAAAGAAACCAAAAGAAAATTGGTTTAACAAAAACAAAACTTAAAAATATCCAATAGTTGTTTTTTGTGTTCTCTAAGGCCCCGTCCACACGAAGCCGAACCCTGGCCTAAACGCACAAATTTTTCACCAAACCAGCCTCTCATCCACACGAAGCCGGCGTTTCGGGGGTCTGTAAACGATCTTTTTTTTATTCAGCCTTCAGAGTGGGAAGATTCTGAAACGCCGTTTTCGCGTTTCCATCTTTAAGCTCTAACCGCATTTTTTTTTTACATGCATGCGTCATAGCGTCGCCTCTAAACACGCATGCGCGACACAGTATCACAACAACAATGGTGCCGTACTGTGTTGAATGGTTGCTGCTCATGCTACTCACCCTGCTGTCGGGCTTACAACAGAATCATCTTCTTCTGGAATATCTCCAGGAAGAACAGAGCAATATCGACGACATAGTTCAGCACCTGAATTTGACTGAACCACGAAAATGTACATGTATAAATATTTGTGCGCATGCCCAACATTTCGTCGCCTATTTTTGCTTTGGCACGACAGCGCCACTTACAGGCCTGGCATACATTTTGCAGCGTTTTCATGTATTCGTGTGGACAATCACATTTATTTTACATCTCCGTCTTTACGACAAACGTTCTGGAAAATATTAGCGTTTCGTGTTCGTTTTGACTTCGTGTGGACGGGGCCTAACATGCTTGCTTATTACTGTGTATTACTGCTTATCATATTATAGGGCCACTCAAACTTTGCTTTCACATGATTGTTCTTGATTGTTGATAAAAAAAGTAACATAATATTTCAGTTTCAGCAGATTCAGATGATACAAATTCTACTGCCTATAGTTTGACTTCCTATAGAAATACTGACTGTCATAACTGGTAGTGCATCTTGCAATACTTACATAAGCCACTGCATATCCAGATGCTTTTTACTGTGTTAACCTTTTCCTGGGCCAGGGCAGCCTTCTGAAAGCATTACCCCCCTCCCTTTGTTTCTTTTACATTTATCATGTTAAAAACAGGTTGTTAGGATAAAATACATTCACCCTAGAAAAAGGTTCTTGCACTATTGTTTTATCATCCAACTCTCCTCTTAGCGTCCATAACTCTTGCACTTCATGATGAAGGTTGTCGATTAATGCAAAGAAATATAAACGTTGATCAAACTTTTTAGAGTATTAATAATTAATAGGAATCCTTTCTTTCCCACTTCACAAATGCCCACTTATGTTGGTATATCAGACACAATTCTAAAAAAAATGCTCACTGAAAGATAAAAGAATATCGAAAGCTTTAAGATTTTTTACTTAAAAAACAGGAAAAAGAACAATGCAATAACTCTACACGTTGTGTTTCTCTCCCTAGGCCCAAAACCGCTATAGCTTATCACAGATACAGATGAAACAGGTAACTTTTTGAAAAGTCATCATTATAAATGTTGGCTCTACTATTCACCAACTCTTTGGGCCTCTTCTTCATTCTTCTAAATGTTTGGTGATGGGACTCTTTACAGCTTTGAGCTTGAAACTTTCTACTTCCTAAAGGATGGACACAAAGCAACAGTTGCAACATATAAGAGTTTACTAAATGTTTTAGGGTTATGGGTGTTTTTTTATTTTTTATTGCCTCTGTTCTCAGATGGCCATAATGGTAGTTTCTGACTTTCTAAATGCAAGCAAAAACATTCTGGACATCCTGAGGGGAAATCTGTGCTTTATCTATGCCTGGTCTTATCAACCGTGATATAGTTGTTTTTTGTGTTCTCTAACATGTTTGCTAACAGAGATGGCAAAAGTACTCACTCTCCGTACTTGAGTAAAAGTACAGATACTTGTCTTAAAAAATACTCTGGTAAAAGTGGAAGTACTGATTAAACTTCTTTACTCAAGTAAAAGTAACAAAGTACAGGCTTGTAAATTTACTTAAAGTATAAAAGTAAAAGTAGAAACCACTTTTTTCTTGCCGTTGCCTACATTTTAAATGGATGTCTGCCAATAGGACTAGATCTCCGTTGTGTTCATTTTCAATCATCTCGTCATCCATGCTACTATGCTAACGCCACCGCCACCAAGCTGCAATGATTTGCTGCGAATGAATACCGCCGAATCTGTCGATTCATCTTGTAGTGGTGCTTCAAATGCAACGTAGATTCCCATCCAATTAGACTGAATTTGGTATTGATGACGTGAAAAATAATAGCGGTAACTCCATTGAAATGATTCAAAACTAAAGTAACGAGCCAATTTTTTTAAAATGTAAGGAGTAGAAAGTACAGATATTTGTCTAAAAATGTAAGGAGTAGAAGTAAAAAGTCGCCATAAAAATAAGAAGTAAAGTAAAGTAAAAATATCAGAAAAATCTTCTTGAGTACAGTAACGAAGTATTTGTACTTCGTTACTTCCCATCTCTGCTTCCTTATTACTGTGTATTACTGCTTATCATATTATAGTGCCACTCAGACTTTGCTTTAAAATACATTTACCCCAGAAAAAGGTTCTAGAACAGTTTAAGGATTTTTTGTTTACCACGAATTGTTTATTCTAGTTATACAAAGGGAGTGACTGTATGTATTGAAATAGTCTAGAGCTATTATTTTCTTTTAAGTCATACTGTAATAGATTGTAAACTATCGGTATTTATTTGCAGTCATCTGTGTTGAAATTGGAGTAACTCATTCAGCCAAATAAATATTTATGTTTTAAACAATTTTACATCTTAGGCATGAAGAAAAATAGCCATAATCCCAGTGGATCATGAACAGATTATTAAGAGACTAGTCACTGATGACTGTAAGGTTTATTTTTCTTTGATACATGTCTTTCAGGCTTCATTTACAAAATGACATTGAAAGTTACGTGCCAAATTCAAAGGGGATTATAACTTGATTTTACAATGTAGCTACTTTGAAATATATATTTATGGCTGAATCACCAAGTTTGCATTCCAAACGTCTCTCCTCTGTTTGCTAATGCAACAAAATGTTGGTTTTCATGCTAAAAAAAGAAACCATTGCTTTTATTTTGGGATGGAACTCCTCCAGTTGTTGTTTCCCACCAAATACACAAATTCCTGCCACTCAAGCACATGGAGAAGTATCCAATTTGTTAGTCTTTGTTACTGTGTTGAGACAATGGACCTAGGAGATGGGACTACAATCGAACTACTCAATAACTACATTTTTATTTTCTTCCAAATAAGACTTTTATAGATTTATTTCATGATCAAATGCCTTTATATCTCGGGCAAAAACTATTAATTTAAACTCCAGCAGTTAAAAACGGTGCTTTTAGGGTGATGCCAAGCTTTATCTGATTTGAGACTCAATTTCTGACTTAAAGTATGGATTTATTGTGCATTAAGAGAAACCTTTTGAAAACACATTTTGTCCTTGTTGAAAGCTTTTTATATTGGTAAATGGCAACATCCCTTTTCATTAGAATCAATTAAGATTGAGACAAGAATTACTAAACCACAGAATACGACTAGTCGAACCGAGACTATAACAATTTAACACTGATTAGTCTTTAAAATCCAGTGTGTCACATGTAAAACGATCAAATGCTTAAACAAAAAATATCGTAAATGTCTCAAAAGGAGAGTAGTATATAGTCTTATTATTCGGGTGAATTCTGTATTGTGTATTGTGTTGTGTGTGTGAGATTAAGTGTTAAACTCTTCTGTAGAAGACCCTGGTATTGAATGTTAAACTTAGCACCTTGTAAGTTTGAGTATAATTAGTTATTATTCTTAGAGAGAGGTAGGAAAAGCGAACAGATCTCATCGCTGTCCTTTCCTTGCCTCTTTTACTCCCCTGAAAACAGCACCTCATAACTCAAAGGGAAAACAATAGCTGATATTCACAGCTTCTTCCTGTCAACACCAAGAACACTGATGGATTGAAGAAAAAGGCCCTGAGTTTTATTTATCCTAGGTTGTCTTGCAAAGAAATATCTTCTTAAGCCATAGTGGTAAAGTTCAACTAATGCTTGAGAGCAACATCAAACCAATCAGTTGGTTTTACTTAAATGGAAGACCACAATGCACTCCCAGTGAATGTCTAATTCATTCTTTACTGGTTAAGTTTATGTGAAGAGCTGATTTTATCTAGAATGAGTTCATCATTCTTTTTCGTTTGACATTTCAAGGCTCTCGAAGCAGCCTGGAGTGAAGAATTGTGGGGTTGAATTTGAAAAGCCAAAAGATAGATCAAGAAGTGCCGAGAGAAAGATTAGGAAAGGTTAGATGAATGTCAAGGAAGAAAGTCATGAATGAACCGACAAGGAATGCCAATTTTGGATTTGTGCTCAGGAAACGTATGCGAGTATTTACCTGACTTTTACTCATACAGAGATATAACACCATATATAACATAGAGGCTTCCAAGCATCACATGTGGTTAGAAACCACGCCTTGCACTGGGGAACAGTCATCCGTGACATTAGAAATGTCACAGGGACCAGGGATGGAGCTATGTCTCTGCCTACAGGGCGACGCAGGGCTGGTTTGTGTCCCCCTGGAACGGCTATCTTTGGCTACGAATCAGGACAAAATCTAGCGTGTGCTGTGCAATGTTGAGGCCATATGTGAAGACATAAAAGGGATACACCTGCAATGAGATGAAGTGCAATTTAGTTAGAGATGTGCTTCGGTGGGGGTGTTGGAAGGGAGATCTTAATGTATAAATGCAAGAGATGTAAAAATTCTTGTTAGGTTGTTTGATGGCTTGAAAGCAAATCCTCTGAATCTAGAAACTATATAAATTTCCTGATTCTGCCATTTCTGGACTTTTTGGTTCTGTTTAAGTTTTTACTTTGGGTTTTCAGTTGTACCTTGATTTCTGTGTTTTCTAAGTCAAGTTATTTTTCAATTTATTATCATCCAAGTTAATTTCTAGTTATATTTAAGACCTGCTGTATTTCTTGTTTACTCTCTGCCACCCTCTTTTGTCAGTCCCCTTCGCCCTAGGTCCCTTCTAGAGCCTTCATTCCACGCCTGTTCCCAATCAGTTTATTATTCAATTATTTGTTCTGTTTGTCATATATACCCCTCCTCTTCAGTTACTGTTTGCTGGATTCTCTTCATTCCTTCGTTCCCTCACTCCTTCTTTATGTCCTTCCGTTTATAACTAGTTTCCTAGTTTTTGGTTCCTGAGTTTCTTGTTTTGGCAAGAGATAATCTCTGCTTCTTCAACTCTTTATTTGGGTCCTCAACAAATCTAATATTGAAATTAAGGGAATAAAAAGCTTTTTTTTCTGATCTTATGATTTATTATTATATACCTTATGAGATATATAATATAATATAATATAATATAATATAATATAATATAATATAATATAATCCCAGCCCTTATATCAGGTGTAGATACAATTTAGCTTACCTAAGTGGAGTTCCATAATTCATACACTATCAGGAGTGTGAAGTATAGATAGATATGAAATAATACCATTTGTCTTGAAAGGTGTTTTTTCTTAATGCCTCCATTGTTCTTCCAGAATGCTTTACATTAGAGCATTTTTTATGATACTCAGAGGTGTACAGAGGTGCAAAAATCATTTGTTTACTGGTTACATAAATAAAGTTGAATGAAATTGCAACTCAATCGGACAAAATTAATCTTTAAATTGGTGAATGAGCTCATGAGCTTGAGTTTGTTATAGTTACATTTTTTTGTCCTTAAAGTCCTGTTTGCCTTTTTTTGAATTTTCACCTTACAGTGCTTTTTTTTTCTAGTTCTATTTACTTTTAGAGAATTCAGTTTTGCTGCAGTCCTAAAGCAACTTAACTGATCAGCGAGTGATTTGGGGTAAAAAAAGGTTTAGAAACTGCACAGATGCACTTTAGCAGCAGCCTGCCAAAAGACAGCTTGCTCAAATTTCATTAATGGTCTATAAAGATATGTTTTGAAGACAAGTTGATCCCAAAAAGCTATTTGTTGAAAACCTGGCATACTGTGGAAGATCAGCAGATGGATGATGCACCTCTTAGTTCATGTGTCAGATCTCTGCAGCATGTTTTCGGCTTTATTTTTTGGCTTTATGTCATGGCACAATAGCCCTTTTTTCTCCCTGCCTTTTCTTTAACTTAATTTATTTAACTGTGTAATTCACTAATATGTCATTTTCATATATAAAGCTCCAAATACACATATGTATTGACAGGTGTTAGCAGCTGAGTTAGAAAAAATATTATTTGAAAAGTTTATGCTTTTCATGGTCTTCTCCTGCTATTGGTGTTTTCTGGGGTCTCAAATGACTGATTCTGATTTTGAAATATTCTTAAATTAACATTCTTAAGATTGAGAGAAAGATAAATGAGCAGTAGGTTCTTGGATAGAGGAAAGAGTTTTGAATCCAACAGGATAAATGCAAGAACTTTGACCGCATTTATTCAGCAAACCACAAAAAATCTGTTTTTAATGTCTGACCAGCCAATAACTTCAATAGTTTTGACTGATTTATATGCATTAAAGTAAGCTCTTTCGGTGTGTTTCAGTGTCCCTTCATTGACGCATTTTATCTCTTCTCTTTTTGTGGTGTGTTTGTTTTGTGGCCACGTGTGCACAGCAGTGTAACCCAGGTGACCTTCGAGCCCTGAGGAAGGGAATGACGCTGTACCACTCCGAGTCCCAGCTGTCCTCACTGCCCCAGCGCCAGGAGGCCATGCACATGGTCAGCACCCAGGAAACACACACTGACGCGCACAGAGGGAGGCCAACCCTCACTTACCTGCTCAGACAAATGTCATAACAACAAGGAACGTTTTAGATGTGGTTAAGTGTGGATTTGGAGTCTGATTTCATACCAAAATAAACTCAGGCACGCCTAATTGTTAGGAGGAGGACACTGGTGCCTACAATTTTAAATCAAATCAGGTTAGCTTTAATTCACTTTACTAGAGACTCTTCAATTACATTCCCACAGGCAATTCGGCTCTGCATTACTCATGACAGGAAGGGAACTCAATCAGTGGGAGGACAAGGGATGGGTCACAGGGTGGTGGAGGCACACTGGAAAAGAAACAGGCAATAAAAGAAACTTAGAAGGAGTCTGAACCCCATTCTCTTGATCCTATATCTAAACCCTTAAGCTTTTCTCTGCCTCCTCTGAGCCCGTTTGTTCTGAATCCCAATATGAAAGCAATAATCCTCTTCAATCTATCCCTCCTGCTGACCCTGAGAATGTCCGGGGTGGAAAGACTAGGCAATTATTTTTAGTCTGATCAAAGGAAAGCCATTTCAAAGAAGACTGTATCTCTAGCTTTACCTGTTTTATGTATATATCATCATAAAACAGGGTTTTACTGATATTTCCAAGCAGGGAAAAGATAATTACAAAGTTTACATTTGCGGGCTGTATTTAGTATATACTACTATTTTTTTTTATGTTACATTAGTAATTAGCATGTAAGCACAGTTAACAGTTACCTTTCCTAGAGATTTGCTAGAGTCGAAAAGCATTTCTAAATCTAACCTGATTGAGACTCAGAAACATAAAGTGGGATGCATTATTTTGTCTCTCTGTCATCTGCTACAAGTCTTGCTCTTTCTCGCTTTTTCACAGCCTCAGTAAACCACAGACATCTTCTGATATTTGTTGAAAATAATAGTTTCAATTAGAAATGTTTTTAAAATCACTGAATTCTTTATTTTTATTTGTTTTAACATAGTGATACTGAAACTACCAGAATTTATGTTTTGTGTGATGTCAGGTGTTATAGCTTGTTTACTGAATAAAAAGGGTTTGATAGAAATGAGCCCATTGTAGAGAGCAGCTTTTTTCTCAATGCATCTCTTATGAAACACAGTACTTTAATAAAGCATAGCAGCCTAATCAATGCACTTTCATGCATATTAGTTAGATTGTACTCCAGGAGCATAAACTATGCTACTGTACAAAATACACTTTACTGTAATGTAACTTTTTTCACCATAAACAAGTTTCAACTAAGAAAAAAAACAAATTAAGTATATTTAGAGCTCTAAGGACCAGTTTAGCTCTACTTTAGCCTTTCTCCCTCTAATTTGAATAACTCAAATGAATCAATAGATTAACAACATATATTTGTCAATCCGTATTCCATTGTAAAATTGAAGTCACTATCTACTAACTGCACTGCAAAAAATTGAAATATAAGTAAGTATTTTTTTCTTAAAATAAGTGGATTTTTCCTGAATTGAGGAGGTATGGCAGGCACTCTGGAACAAGATGATTTAAAAAATCATCAAAAAATTAAAATAAGAAAAAACAATTGCATTGTCTGATTTCAAGTGCATGTTATCTAATTATCTTATTTTAATATACTCATTCCATTGGCAAATCATCTTATTTAGTTACTTTAGCTTTTTTATTGACTTTTTCTTTTTTTTTTTCTTATCTCTAGATCATTTTTGCAGTATAATTATTAAACAATTAGCTTGTGTCCAAATTTAGCTAAAGTTTATCCATCTGTAAGGCAATGTGTCATGCATTCATTTTAATGAATAAAAGCTGAATTTCAGAGAACGGGACGTTCTGTACCCCTTTCGCTCCACCAGCTCCTTCTTTTTACAGTGTTTAGTCCTTTGTCTCATCCACACAGAGTTTCAGGTCAATGAGCATGGGTGAGGGAGGGAGTGAGGTTGTCAGACTACAAATGTTTGGAGAGAAGAGAAGGAAAGTAGTGGGGGGGGGGGGGGGGGGCAGTCTGTATGCGTGACTAACCCAAACACTTTTCCATTCTGATCTGATTATGTATACTCTAACTGATCTAACACTGTTTGAGTTGCCCCTCCCCTTTTGCAAGGCCTGTTGATGCAGTGAAGCCTTCCCTAAGCAACATTCAGATAAGCAGTAAACACTGTCTTTCTACTGTCTGGATTTTTCTTGTCAACGCACAGCTCAGGGACTACAAAATAAAGTGAAAACTGAGCCTCAGGGCAGTTGCCTGCATGGTTTAAATGTTTTCCTCCTTGAAAACAGCTGACTCGCATGAATGGCCCATCAACAAAACCTCTGCATAAATGAATATTGTGCAAAAGAGAGATCTGATGTGTTGAAGCATGGGAAAATCTAAAACATGCAGGACTGTACTGTAGCATAGTCTGAGAAACTGAAGCCTTTGTGGAAATTGTTTGTGCCTACATTCATTCCTCTGATCTGCCAGTTACCGATACTGCTACAGTTTCTGCAGAACTATATTTCTTTTGTTCCCCAAGGCACTGCTGCTTTGGTATGCTAAGATAAACCATTGGATTTGAAATCCGCTGGATCGGAGTATTTAAAATGTTTATTTTGCATTCAACAAAAACTAAACGGTCTGTCTGATTTAGAAGGGTAAACCTCAAGAGGCCAGCGCTGATAGTTTAACCACAAAATTCTTTGGCTAAAGTAATTTAAACCATTCAAAATTTGACCTCTGACCAAGCATCATCAAAAACATGCCTGTTCTTTTCAGTGTTGCTCGCCATCATCATAAAGCACTTAACTACTATTACTCTAACCTAATATCATGACCTAAGAATATATGTTGTAGTTTTGTTTTTGATATTATAACTTGTGATAATGTAATCAGTAAAAGGTGGCTATCTATCCAGCTATTTTAAAAGAAAAATCTATATTAAATGTACTGTTTCTATGACAATATGTCATTAAAATAGTTGCTTGCTGTTTCTTAACAAATATTTTTTGATGCATTGAAAAAGATATGGATCAAAAAATATTACATGCATAGAGAGCCTATCCACATAGTGATATGGTGTACATTAATATTTCGACAAATTTCATTATATTCTAGGGCCCTAATCCTGACAAACTTCTACTGTTCCTTATGATTACTGTTAGAAAACTCATTCAAAAAAATGTTTTCCCTCCTGTTGTACGTAGATATTCTATTTCAGTTTGGGTTATTTATATAGTGCCAATTCACAGCACATGTCATCTAAGAGCACTTTACAGAGACAGATTTTTGGCTGTTGTTGTGTCATGTCATGATTGACCAAATTACACTTTTGTCACAGCTTTCGCTTGATAAGCAGCTGTGGTAGCTAAAAAGATGGCTCCCTAGTGCAGCTACCAACGTAAGCATAATTTTTAGTGTTTTCCCTAAATAATGTGTTAAGGCCCTCAAACCAAATCTGGCCCCTCATGATAATTTATCTGGTCCTTAACAGTATAATGGAGGATTTTTTGCCAATTTTTGAAAAGACCTGCCCTCTCCACTTAAAAAAAATGCACATGCACAACCCTGTACCCACAACCGAGAGGGAATGCTTATCAAACGCGTACGATAGCACGCACAAACCCATTTCTCCTCATGCACGCCGTTTAAAAGTGGCTGTTTGCATCGCTCATACAAGCTTACTTTCCAAAGGAAGATTTGCAATTTTCAAGTGAAAATGGGGACGAGCAAGTTGGACGGCCTTTCGTAAACATACCACCAGAATGAATGGCAATTGGAAGGACCAATTATTTTGAAGATCCTCCACTATACCTTTAAGAGCCAAAAGTAATATAATTTCATAAAGTATTGCATATGTTCTTCTACAGAGAGCAAACTACTGAATAAATTGAATAATAAAACAATAGGAGAGCAGTGTTCTTTTTTTATATATAGAAAGATGTTTTTAAAGTTCTGCTGTGTAGAGTGTGATGTCTTCTGCCGTTATCAGCTGCGACAACAGCGTCGGAGAAAACCCTAACCCTCTAAAGATGGTTCCTACATACAGCCATCAGAATCTACTATAAAATATTTTAGGAAACCCCTAGAGGAGTAATTTTTAATTAAAATAAATTGATGCATGATCATATACTTGATTGTCAATTGATCAGGTCCCTAATTAACACCTATAGAGCTGAAAATCATCCAAGTGCAGTAACCAGCCAATTCCTCTTTTACTTCCTGTGAATAATAGATTTTAGATCAGATAAATTGATCAAATGCCGCTTGTGGTATTTGCTTATCTTTTAAGTATGCAAAATAAAAACAAAGCAAACAAGAACCAGGGCAGATTGTGTACTGTAGTTGCTCATTAGCCAATAGAAACTAAATCCTGTGCATATTTGTTTTGAACTTAAGCCTGGAACCATTATTTATTAGTTTCGATTGGCTATTAAAAACAGATGGCCTCTTTCAGAATGGAGCCAATCTTTTATGGAGTTAAAATCAACTTAACTGAAAGGGTGATGATTATAATAATCTTTGTGCTTAACCAGGTATGATGGAGACTTTTCTTAAAAGAAAACAAACAAAGCAAATGATAGGAATGATCAGAAACAGACAAAAATGTATGTTTGTTCTGTCTAGGGGGAAATCACTGGGTTATTATTGCTAGATGAATGTTTGGGCATCCAAACTGGCTCATGGAGGTAGCTGATAAAAGCATCACAGGCATGAATTGAATCCTGGTGAACAGAGCCAGAGAGCTGTGTCTAATTCTTGGGTCCTGATGCCAGGTCACACAGAATGCTGCCATTGTGTGTCCCTGAGATCTCTGTGTCCCCCAAACAGAGAGCCACTGTCTGGAGCTAACCAGGGGGTGAGATGAGTCAAGCAAACACTCTGGTCTTCTCCTTGCTGGCTCACTGCTCCCATCACAGCAGTTTAAATCACGCTGTGCAGGTTGCAGACCTTGGAACCGATTGCAAAAAAAAAAAAAAAGAAGTCCAATGGAGGTGATGTGAGCTGTGATGAAAGGGATGACATTTTCGGTGCTTCAGTACAGGAAATGTCTTGTATTTTTTATCCTGATCCAGGTGGAGAGAGTGTGGTGAACTCTCTTTGTTTTGGTTTATGTTCATTGGAGGAGATCAGGGAGGAGGAGCATTTAGTTTAAACTCTGAGTGACAGCAGATGTGATAAGAGCACTGATTTAAAGCCTCTACTCTACCTTTGCAATGTGCCCTTTATTTGCATTTTGCTGCTGCTTTGTTTGGTTTATTTAAAAAAGGATGACAAAAATATTCCTGTCGTTCTTCTACAGGGAACAAACCGTCTACCAACCAGTGAATCGTCTCCAGCCACCGGCTACCTGTCCTGCGTCCAGAAGCCTGAGGCAGTGGTGCACGCCATGAAGGTCAGTCATTGGCTCATCTCACATACGTTTGTGTAATGTGGTTAATGTAGTTAGCCTTTATAACAATCTTCTTTTTTCTTTAATCAGTCATTGAAACCATAGCTTCTCCTGTTGTTTAATCAGGTTCTAGAGGTCCACGAGAATCTGGACAAGCAGACTCCTAAGGACTATGAGGACGATCTCAGTGAGAAGGAGAAGGCCATCGTGCGAGAGATGTGCAACGTAAGACCAACAGAAACTCATTTAAAGTGTAATTTAATTTGACATCAGTAGTGTCTTTCTAACTGATCATTGCAAACATTAAAGCTACTTTGGAGGCTACAGCTGCAGAATTTGCTCTAAAGAGTTTTGATTTGTCAGCTTATCACTGTACCAAGTCCAAACAACATGGTGGCGCCTATATATCTTGATGAACTGACGTTAGGGTTGATTCAGCTTTTTTTTTTTTAAATGGATAGTCACGCTCCTTATCGTGGGAAAACTCTGGAATTTTCTTTTCCAACACAATCGTTTAACTTGTTATGCTATTTTTTTATTTTAAAGTCCTGTTTTAAAATAAATACATTTTCTTTTTAATTGTAATGTGAAATGTTAACACTATGTCAAAGTATTTTACATAAATTCCAACTTTATCTAAAATAATGTGTTAAATACACATATAAAAAAGGCCTTATACCTGTTAAAGTACAAGGAAGGTGTCACCAATTGTTTTAAATGATGGCGATGTAGCCTTACAATATTAGAGCTTTGACCTACATAGGATCACACTACATTTTATATGTAATACACATTACAGTACAGCTCTAGCTTGATATTTCTGTTCTTCCAGTGTGAGCGGCCTTGTTTCTCTCCGCTTGTTCCCAACTTTTGATTCTTTTCTCTTTTCTGAAACAAATGCTGCTCTGGAAGCCATCAGTGGAGGCTCACAGTTGAGCTGTCAAAGCAATTACTCTATAACAGCAGGGAAAAGAGCACCCCCCCCTCCCGACCCCCCACCACCAAAACCACATATTCTCGCCTATCTAGTCTTCCTCTCTGCTGCCCCTCATTTTCCACCATCTCTCTCTCTGTCGGTGCTGAAAAGGCCTTGTGCTGAATAAAAGGTGCACTGATGAGAGAGAGAAGCGCAGTCTGGCTGTCCAAGGTATGTGACAGGCTAGGAATCTGGGGAACACTACAATAGTTCTTTTGTAATATTCCCAGGGTCCCCAGAGGGCCCCTTTACATAGAAGCCTCACACAGAGGAAGGCAGTTTAGCGGAACTGTTTTGCATATTCAGATACATTAAAGGAAAGTTCATTTATTTCTCTAATTTTATTCAAAATATGAACCTTGATTTAAATTATTTATATAAAGTAGCTGGGAGGTTGCTGTGGTTGTGTGAAGTTCTCTCTCTCTTCTCAAACATATCCGACCCCACCTCCTCCAAACACAGTGGAACAGCAGCGGCTCTGCTGCATCACTCAGCTCCTCCTTTCTGCTTCTCCTTTACAGGTGGTGTGGAGAAAACTGGGCGATGCCGCAGGATCAAAAATGTCCATCAGGCAGCATCTCTCTGGGAACCAGTTCAAGGGCCCGCTGTAACACGGCAGCCGACGACGCAACCGATCCACACTTACCTGGGATAACGCCACCTTACTACCTGCCTAGACGACCCGTCACGCCGTGCTCCCCCACTGCCGACGAAGCTCAGCTTCCCTGCAGCAAACACTCTCTATAGAAGGCTACAGAATGAACAATGTAGTCCGGTAGTTACATGTACAGTCAAAATGTACTCTTTCCTAACCTGTCAATGGTAAAGTTGACTACTGGCAGCTAGTTTGGCCAATTACTTTTTATCCACAGACACACACCCGCTTTTAGCTTCTTATTTAAGAGCATAGCTGCTCTCTTATGAGCCAGCGGTGCAACATGGTTGCAAGCACAGACCTGACAAAGCCACAGGAGCTGAGACCTCCCTGCATGTCGAGAGCCAAAAGTGACACAAGTCAATAATTTGTCAGATAAATATATAGGTCATACTATTGAATAAAACTTATATACAGTTAATGCTACTAAAATGCTATATTGAATTCATAAAATTGGTAAATTACAAATTAAAGACTGTGAAAAATGTTAGAGTATTTACATGTTTCACATTTAAATTCCTTCATGAGACTAATTGTTCTGCAAACCAATATTGTGGAGAAAAAGTCAAATTTATAAATAACTATAAAGGCTTTTCACATACAAAGAGTTTTCATTTTAAATGGAGTAACTATACATATTTGGAAATTTCTAAATTTAGTTTTATCATTCCTATAATTCATAAATACATATATTCATTAAATATATTTCCAATATATAAAATATTTATTTAACAAATTATTTCTTTAATAAATTGTCACTTTTCTTGCTCAATAACACATGCTGCTGGGATGAGAACGCTACAGTGTGGCTGAATTCCTGGATAACTTTTGATAGTACCCCATTATAGAACCATTAGCTCCTGCCACATATATAAATATATCTTTCCGCCCCCTAGTGGTCGACAAGTATAATTAGGATTAGCAATCTAAATCGTTAACCTAGGTGAAACCCACTGTGATCTAGCGCCTTTTGCTTGTGAGACAAGTTTATAAATAGCTACATCTAGGGATCACTGTTAACTTGTGTATAATGTGTATAAAACCATAGTACTACTTCATAGTTTCTCTTGATTTAACTTTTTCTCTTTTTATTTGTACACTAGAGTTGCCATGTGATCAAAAGTTTCTGTTTTGAGAGCACACACAGTCGGAACCTTCCACAGGGTTTGCTTTCAGTATGAACAGTTTTATATTATTAATGTTATTAGGATAATTTTTCCCAAATGAACCTTTATTATACCTTCTTGATGTAACCTCTGAAAATGTATCGAGGATTTTTGGATTCTGCAGATGATTTTATGATTTTTGTGAAACAAGCTAGAGCTTGTATGCTGTGTGCATGTAAGACAATCATTGTCTCAGGTTGGGGGGGCGAGAGCTTTACCTTTACCCATTTCTGAGTCTGTTGGTGCGTTAGTGTGCATGTTTGCGTGAATGGAGACAGGATGTTTTTTTTTTGCAGCTGTAGCATCTGGTCACATGATGGTTTATTGAATGCATTTTCTGAATCCAGGCGCAACTTTTTCATTGCAGTAAGATTCTGGAGGTAACAGCAGGTGCACTAAAGTTTGAATAAGTGGGTTTTAAATTGAAATGATTTCAATTCTGTTGTAATGGATTCAGCAGGTGCATGTTTTTTTTTTTTCTATTTTTTTATTTTCTAAGAAGTATGTCTTCCCTTCAATGTCTTTATGCCATGAAACTTTGTAAAATTTAGTATTTCTTGATGTCAATATATGAGCAGTCCATCAGCGTATTTATTGCCAGGTTTAAGATAGAGATTGGAGAGCAAACAGTAGCTTTGAAGTTGAAGAATTTGGCAGATTTGTTTGAATCTGTAATTTTATCAGATGAAAGTGGCCGACAGAACGGGCTCTATCGTCTTTAGTGCTATTTGTTCCAAAGTAGAACATTTCCCAGGTTGTCCTTACGGACCTTTACGCCCTTAAAAAAAAAAGAAGAGTAATTAAACTATTAATTTTAAAGTGTCCTTTTTTTCTAGGAACTGCTTTAAAGCCATGGTACAATTTTGAATACTTTAAAAAGTGGCATTAAGTTTGAAATATGCCAAATTTTCTCTCAATTTGTTTTCAATTTGGTACCCGAATACGTTTTTTAAACTTTTTCCTCTTTAATGCTCCACTTTCCACTTGTATAGTAAAACCACAATCTCTTGAATCTCTGGTTCAGACTTCCATCCTGTAGCAACTAGCATGACTGTAACTTTTTCTTATGAATTTCACTGATGACATCAACAATTTTCAGGTGAACTGGACATGAATTAGGCCACTTTTAGCAAACTCTGGGAAAGGAAAATAAACGAGTTGATTCATCCTGCTGTCAAGTGCTGTCTTTATTATAAAAAACACTCCTTTTTTTCATACCCCCACCTAGGAGGACCAAGAACACCCTCTGCTGGTAAGTATTAGGTAGCAAGTTAAATCTGTGTTAAGTATTAATATTTAATTGCAGCAGCATCTCATGCACTGCAATTTTTTTTTTATCTAAATAAGCCACTTTTACTTAAAATAAGGGCATTTTTTTTTTTCTTTAAGTGAGACACTTCGCCACTGGAACAAGACAATTTTTATTTAAAATAAGAAAAAAACAATTGCTTTGTCTTATTACAAGTGCATATTATCTAATTATCTTATTTTAAGAGTAAACATACTTTTTCCATTGGCAAATCATCTTAATTACCTGCTCAAATTAAGGCTAAATATACTTAATTTAAGATTTTTTTTTACTTATTTCCAGATAGTTTTTGCAGTGTGCTGTATTTAGCAAGTTAAGTCCAAAATCTGTCCGGTAGCTTACCAAAGTTTAGCCAAAATAAAAGTCTGATCAGATGACTCTTGGCTATTACTGTAATATTCAGATGGCAGCATCAGATTTAGGTTAAAGCAACATAAAATCATGTATCAGTGCTTAAAACTGTTAAACTATTTTTGGCACACTTTAAACGAAGTACTGAGTGTTTTAAACACCCCAACATCAAAGGGTGTAGTTCCTGATCATATAAATCCTTTATCGACACGACATAATGTGGAATAATTTCAAACACAATCCAGCCAAACCCCTTTAGGATGTTGCGAAGCAGGAGGGTTGCTTCATGGACATACAGTCAACACATCTGGAGAACCTGCACATTCCTTTTATGTCACTATGGACCCACATCTTTGAGGAATGTTTTTGACAGCTTATGGAAACAATACAACTAAGAATTCAGAGACTTTGGAGGGAAAAATGGGGGATGAAGCCAATAAGAGCAAGGTATACATAAGAAATTAGCTACTAGTAAATGTGTTATATATGTAATTATTTAAATAAACACAAATAAAATTCCAACCCGTTGACTTTTCCATAATAATAAGAGTGCCAGTATGAATATTAAAGGTCTCTATAATGTGATGAACAATATTCAGTCACATTAAAAAGGAAGCCTGTTTATAGAAGCCTCTGTCACCTTCAGCAAAAAAACAAACAAAAAAACTGGTGAAAGTGTCCACAAATTCAACATTTCCTGAACAAAATCTTTATTGATTTCTTAAATGAAAACAACAAAATTGCAATCTGTTGGAAACTTTTTTTTTTTTACAGTGTAGAAGTGTTTAAGGAGGTTAGGGACACCCCCTGCTGTCATAGAAAATGTCCTGTTTTTTGTTCAGGTAGATTTAACACAAACATTTCTAATATATAAATGACAGGTTAGAGACATTTGATCAAGTGATGGCTCCACTATTGAAATGCACATCATGTGGCAGTACAAAAATATTCTCTAGATATTATCTGGTAGGTTACAGCTTGGTCCAAAGTGTCATAAGCAAATTAATAAAAGGACATAAAAACAAAGGCAATAATTCAGAGGGGTCATCATGAGCCTGATGTCAGTCCTTTAGAAATGTGTACGTGTGAAAAGCCGACTACAGTTCAGCTAATTCCACCAACTATTATGAAAAGTTCAAACCTAAGGTATTACGTTTTATGGCAATCATACCGACTAAAGAAATGTAAATGTCTGAATTTTAAGACAGAAGAAAATGTGTATGAATTATTCTTTAATTCTGGCATAGTTACTATAAAAAAGTTCTTATCTGATTTAAAGAATGAATGAAAAAATGTGAATACCATAAATAATGACATGTATAATTATGTTGTGTATAATTTTGTGCTTATGTCTGAAAGGGGTTTGAAAAAGAGAAACTCCTTTAATCATACCCCTTCACCTTCCTATTGTCTATAATCCTGATTCCTACTTAACTTTCAAGTCTAAACTGCTCAAAAAGTTCAATTAAGTGAACAAATAAATACGTTTATACAATATAAGCATTCACACGTTTATTTATACTGTTATTCCTCAAAGCTCACCTGACCACATCCATTAAAAAACTATGCATCCGCTCATCTACAGTGACTAAGAGCTCTTCTTCCATCTAATTTCTTTGTGAGAAAAACGTGGAGCTTTTTCCTAGTCTCATTCTTGGACATATCTTTAAGTTGACTTGAACAGCATTTATTGAAATGCACAGTGTTTTAATGTTGGAGCATGTAATATTTTTGAAATGTAGATTATCCCTGTAATTATACCCTCACTCTCTCAGCATTTAGCCTAATTGTGAGAAAAGAAGGTTGTGAAAACAGAAAATAAAGCTGTATGTAATAACCTTGGCAGCAGCAACTAGTGCCATCAGAAGTTTTTAAGACAACAGCCAATGACTTTGTCCTACTTATGTTTGTTCATCTGTGATACTGAAAAACTGTAGAGCATCACTGACAGTTTAAGGTCACAGTACAAGTGAAAACTTTATATATATATATATTTAGTTTGGGGAAATGCGTTTGAACAACATACAGCATTTATACCTCTAATGCAATATTTCCAAGTTCCCATCCTATCTTCCCTACAGCTAATCTCAATCTGGATTCAAATCCATGAGCTCAAATGAATTTTGAAGAGATGAATTTATGTCTTGAAAGAAAATGATGTGAAGTATTGGCAGCTTTGAAGAACTACTGTTGAAATAAATGGTTTCCTGTCAGAGGCCACAGAGTACACATCTATAATGTAACATTTTAAAGTATTCATAATGAAACTGCTTGAAGGTCATAATAGACCCTCCACCATACTGCGGTGTACCTCATAAGGCTTGTGCTAAAACAAAAGCCTTCCTGGTAGGGGTGGGCAGTTATAAAATGTATCAAAATAGATCATTTATCATGTATCTAAATAATTTGAATTTAATGTTTAAAACTCCCAAAGAAATGTATGAATTGTTAAA